GACAAAGTGGCTGCTTTTTTGGCACCACAACCACATACATTCATTCCCTCCACCACCAAAGCTCTTCAGCAGCAATGTGTACAATCTAAAAGATGCACAACTGCAATTCAATTCGGGTCCTTAGATAGCACTGTCGATCAGTGTGCTGTGCATTGGCCTGAGTTGGCTTTTGTTCACTTGCAATGTAGTACCATGAGCAGTAATGTCTTTGTATGATCTGGACAGGTTGCATATTTAAAAACTTTTGCTGGCATCCAAATCTTTGTATTTGTATTTTTAACCCGCATGCTCTAACCTTGTGCAGTTTTGGTAGTTCTGTATCTGTTTGCTCACTGTGAATCACTTTTTCATTCTTTCCTCTGTCTTTGAAGAAGTATCTCCTGTGTATCCACGATTAGACAATTGGTTGCTGGGCAGTGTTGTTTGTACTTACCTTCTGAGTATAAGATGTTCTGGAAACGCAGCACTGTGATGGTCTTGGTTGGTTGTTCAATGCTTAATGATCATTGATTTGATGGTGCATACCATACACTCTGCTAGACTGTGTTTGAGAATGTATAATGAAGTGATAATGTGACTTGGGCCATCCTCCAATAAATGCACATCTTGAAATGCTAAATAAACTGAAAATAGTATTCATCATGTCAGTGATGGTTATGCTCGTTCTGTTGTCATCAAACAATGGGAAATTTAGAGAACTAATCACAAGAAAGTTATCTTCCCTATGCACTATGAATAAGTTAATTGCTACTTTCATCTAAGGATTGGATAAGTCATCATGTGGATGTAGAGGCTTCCCTCACTGCTGGAGTTGATACATTTTGGTATTCCTCGTGCGCTTTCGTTAGTCATTGAATATCTTGATTCATCCCTGCCTAGTACAGAGATTCATGTGCTAGCCGTCTTGGGCTTTCAATACTTGCTTGTCCCATGGACATGAAATTAGGGCCTAATACTTTTGGTATTAGGACTTGTTTGCCTTTGTCATGATACACTAAGTTCAGCTCTGTATGGCCACAATGAACAGATTTTCTGAGGAACCTCCTTAATTGCAAGAAACCATCTCTGGATAATAATTTTTTTACAATATTAATAGCTGTTCATCTTCAGCAGTTGATAATTGCCAAAACATAACAGATCAACCTTGAGAATGTCTTCCATTTTGTAGTCTACAGCATCAACGTGTAGATCAAAAGGAATATCTATGCCATTGTATGGATTGGGTAATTTGCTCAGTGTGTCAGATGTAATCCTTGTGGTACCTTCTCAACAATCCTACCCATACTCTGCTGAAATATGTCTTGGCTACTGTACGGCCCAAATATCAACTATGGAAACAGTGCCATCCAAATGGTGTCCTAAATATCATGACCTAAATGGACAGAAGAGTTTCAATATTTTGCATTTAGCTTGGGCAAAAAAAAAAGCTCGCTGTGGAAAATTTAAGATTTAATTCATCAGGTATCAGTATTTTGTGGACACCTTTTTAAGTGAAAGGTTGGACCTAGGGCCATACCTTAATGGTCGAATCTTACTTTGAAACACATGATGTAATGCCACTAACCTGTGTAATGGTTGACTGTATGAATTATACCATTTTGTTCCATTCTTTCAGTTCTGCTTGCAGCTTCCGAATGTCACTCTGCATTTTGAACGTTCATCAAATGGGGTTGCATTATCTTTAAGATACAGCAATGTATCATCCTTAAAATTTCTGATCTCCTTCAAATCCATCTGGGTGCAGGTATTTAAGATCACTGACTGATTTGATTGCATTACGTGTAGTTTGTTTCAACACAATGGATGTCATTTGAATTTAACGAATTGTGACTGTGCCAAGAGCTGTGTATACTTATCATCTTTCCACTGCTGGACTGTAGGCATCTACCACGCAGAAGATCTCAGGAAGCCAAGATGAGCTTGGCTTGATATTGGTATTGCAATGTGATTCCACCAATGCGTGGAATTGGGTGATTTCTTAAATGCAGTAAGATGGTCTCTTGTAGGCTATACCACGAAGTGCCACTTGCACAGGCACATGATTTTCAGGATACCCAGTGGTAATATGGTGGCACACGCTCCCATGTGGATTTTAGCTTTTGGGTGTCTTATCCTGCCTTTTCGGCACATATATTAATCACTGTAAAAGCGTCTGATTGCCTTATATGTTGACAATATATAGAAAATTGACAATATGGCAATCTGGGTTGTTCTCTGAAATTTACTTCTTGCTTGGTTGATTCTGAACCTTAATGATGTGTTTGCATTTATGCACCTTCTTAACACTGTCCTTGCTGATAGCATTATGGTGTTGTACCAACTTGTTGGTCAGTTATGTTTTGTTCCAGGATCCAGCTTGGCCTTTGAAACCAGATTTCCTTCACATGCACACCCAAAGTTCCTTGGTGCCACATGCTTTACAAAACTTGGGGTAGGTGTGATAAGGTGTGGTACAGGTTGTTGTTTTAATGTATTTTTTTGACTGTAGCAGTTATGTTGCCTGCTCCAGAAGCATGTGATTGTTGGCCCTTTTTCTGGTTCAAAAGATTCTTCTGAAAGATTTTAATTGGAATGGAGGTACTGACTAACTTACTAAGCCTCTCTGAGGATTCCTCTTTGGAAAATGCCCTTTGCTGCAGCACCTTTTGATAAAATGATTCATAAACTCTTTGGGTTGCTGTCTACATGATATGACTTACGTCTGATAATCCTGAAGTTAACCATTACCTTGAGCTGGTCTTTGACAACCTTTCAGGTGTTTTCTTCATCTTTCTGATCGTTTGTGGAAAGACCAGATGTATTAAATATGCAAAACCCTTCCCTGCCAGTGGCAAGCAAGATTTTTGAACTTCCTTTTTGGAATCATCTATTGCTTGTTCTATAAAAGAGAAGTCCTCCCAATGTTCAAACAGTTATAATTCATTAAGGTTGTTATTGGATTCTCCTGAATCCATAGTGAAATTTCTGCATTCCAGGATTCTGCCTTAAGAACGTTGATTGTATCACCTTAAGCCAAGTGTCCCTGGCTTTGTGTCAGTTTAAATTTTCAAGTTCTTCTTTCTTCACTGGTTCTGCAGCTGCTATGTATCAACTGTTAGGAACACCAGTTTCTTCCAGCTTTCTGTAGTGCACTTCAATAGCTACATATTTCAGATCAAAAGTACCCTGCAACCTTTTTATTCTTTAGTCAATCTTAAAATTTTTTATTCTTGAAGGAATTTTAAATTCTGATTAAAAATAAGTTTGATATTTCCTTGGTAGTTAATACCAGATCTACAGATCTGTACAACTGACTGTACTCTTAAGAAAATGACGCAGCTTAAGGTAAAGAACTGTCCCATTTTGCATATTCTCCATTGTCCAAAGCTCTTGACCAGTTAGTTTTTAATTAATCACAGAATCACAAAATTGTTAAAATGCAGAAGAAGGCCATTCAACCCATTGTGTCTGCATTGACTTTCTGAACATTTGTCTTAGTGCCAAACCACTGCATGTTATTTCTATTTAAATAAACATCCAATTACCTCTTAAATGCCTCATTTGAACTTGTCTCCTCAACATTTGCAGGGAGTGTATTCCATATCCTATCCACTCACTATGTGAATAAGTTTTTTTCTTACCACATATTTCTTTAGCAGAACACTTTTAAAATGCTACCATCTGGTTCTCAATCCATTTGCATTTCTCCTTATCTATTCTGTTCAAACTCTTCATGATTTTGACAACTTTTATCAAATCACCCCGAGCCTTCTCTCCAAGGAAAACAGTCTCAATCTTAGCCATAGCCAATGGCATGCCAGTCAATAAGTGATGAGGGAGAAGAGAGACGAGAAAAAAAGGAGTTCGCCAAGTTGATAAATAAACGCATGGATTCTTTCAGGCTTAACAATGACTGTGTGACCTTCATACTTCCCATGATATCTCTGCCATGGATGTTAAGACATGCAAGTGCACTGTCTACCTCTGGATCACTGCCATTGCCTCCTGTTGAACACCTGTTTTTGATTTGATTTGATTTATTACCGTCACATGTACTGAGGTACAGTAAAAAGTATTGTCTTATGTGCTTTATGTGTAGATCGTACGATACAAGTGCATCAAGGTAACAGAACTGACTGAAGGATACAATGTTACAGCTGTCGAGAAGGTGCAGAGAGAGATCAATATTAACATTAAAGAGGTCCATTCAAAAGTCTGTTAACAGTGGGAAGAAGCTGTTCTTGAATCTGTTCGTGTGTGTATACAAACTTCTATACCTTCTGCCTGGTGGAAGAGAGTATAACCAGGGTGGGGGTCTTTGATTATGTTGGTTGCTTTCCCAATGCAGTGGGAGGTATAGATGAAGCTTCACCTTCAAGAAACAAATAAGTTAGTAGTGGGTGAACTGTAATATATTTAGATGGTATGGTAGTAAAAGTTGAATAGTTGAATGTACCTTGCAAGTATATGCCATCAAGAAAATAGAGTCTTTCATAGATGGCTGAGGCTGCTACCATGATGTGGGTGAGTTTGCCTCCAACAGGGTGTTTTACATTTGCGACAATATTTAAGTTCTCTCCAAGAAACTGGGCATTATGCCATGGTATTAAAGAATCCAATAGACATTTGTTACAAATAGCCATTGTGTACAAACATTAGATACCTCTGGCACGTAAGTATTTGCACTAATATTATGCTATGAGGTTATAATGAAGAACGTGCTTCCAGTACAATGTCGTTCTCGAGTGATCTGAAGTCAGATAGATAATGAAATCTTTATACTCTCTGGTCACATGTTTTAATGCAGTAATTGTGGCAAAAAGACATGTTGACATACAGACTGAAACCTCAAACAATATATTCTGTGTAGTCTAAAGAATAAGTTTCTAATCATATGAAAGCTTGTTATTTACACTTTTTGTAGTCTGTTGTATATGTTTGCAAACATTAGTTAAAACTTTGCTTTTAGATATATACAGGTACATATTGCTTAAACAGATAAATTTTACAATTTATTGCAGACATCGATATCTCATAGAAGTTTTAGAAGTTGGAGGCGTTTTGACGTTTCTAGAAATTCTGAAATTGAAACAGTTGCGAGAAGATAATAAAGAAGAAGCATTAAAGTTGCTTCAAATTATTGCAAATGCTGGACGAAAGTATAAGGAACTAATCTGCGAAAGCTATGGTAATCTAACACATTGAAACTGATTTTATGTGATTTGGTTAAGTATTGCTGATTGGACCTGTTCCCATGTAAGCTAAACTCATCTAATGTTGTGGGATCAGCTCATTAACCTTGTTTTATAAAGGTCTTACTGTGTCTTGTGAGATTATGGGGATTTGGGAAGGAATTTCAGTTGTCAACAGGTAGTGAAAGACCAGAGCTATTTTTCTCTGCAAAGTGTAAGGACTGGATGGCAAAAACGTGAGACGTGAACATCAGCCAGGCAGCAATGTTTTATGAAGGACATTAAATCCTAAATCAGAAAGTCCGTTACAAATGGATTATGTGTGATTAAGTACTGTTTAGATACTCCAGTTGCCTAATGGGAAAGCTCCTATTTCTTTATTTACATTCATCGTCCTTTTTCATTTGTATGCTGTGCCTCTCTATCTGATAATACAAGGAGCTGGAAGTTCAGTCTGTTAGACATTCAACAACGTATTATGAACCTATAGTATTCCACAAAAGGTGGTACAGTGACTCAGTGGTTGAGGTGGCATGGTGGCTCAGTAGTTAGCACTGCTGCCTTGCAGCACCAGGGACCCGGATTCAATTTCATTCTCCGCTGACTGTATGGTGTTTTCACATTCTTCCTGGGTCTGCATGGATTTCCTCCCACAGTCCAAAGATGTGCAGTTTAGGTGGATTGGCCATGCTAAATTGCCTATTGTGTCCAGGGATGAGTAGGTTAGGTGGATTAGCCATGGGGAATGCAGGGTTACAGGGACAGGATAGCAGGGTGAATCTGGATGGGATGCTGTTCGAAGGGTCAGTGTGGGCTTGATGGGCCTGTTTCCACACTGTAGGGATTCTATTTTTTCAAAAAAACCCGTCATTCCAGGATAAAACTGCCCAAATAAACAGAAGATGTTAGCTATTTACATATTAGTTTATATAGTTATATCATTACTTTGATTATTAAGTCAAATTTGAAATCTCTAAGCCATAAACAGTGGCTTAACACATTTCTCTTCCAGGCGGTTTTGTGGATTTTATTCAGATTTTTATTTCCACTGATGATAGGAAGAGTTTACATGGTGTGCATTAACAATTTGTTTCTTGGAAAATGGTAGATGCTTCCTCTGCCTTTATTGCATAGCAGCTTTTACTAAAAGGATAAATAAGAATGCTTTTAAAACAATAAATTAGCCAATATGGACTTCTGTAACCGTAGTTCAGCAAAATTGTGGGAAGACATGTAGACGGGGTGGGGGTGAGGAATTGCAATCTGATATTTGGCAACAGGTAATTGCAGAGGGATTCCTTAGATGCAGGGGTGGTGCCAGAGGAGTGTCAAGTTGCAAATGCTGTACCCTTATTCAAAAAAGCTGTATGAATAAGCCTAGGAATGGCAGTTTAACTTTGGTAATAGAAAAATTTTATAAAGAAGACAGGGCAAAAGTGATAGACACTTGGACAAATGTAGATTAATTAATTGGTTTATTGTTACGTGTACTGAAGTACAGTGAAAAGCTTTGTTTATGAGCAGTACAGGCAGATTATAGTAAGCAAGGATGTACAGATCAAAAAGACTTAGAGCCATACAGGTTGCATTACACAGGGCATGCACTGGTAAAGAAAACCAGACTATCATTTCAGCAAACCATCTTGCTCCTATGCTAACGTGATGGAAAGTGTCATCAACAGTATTATCAAGAAGAAAGTCCATAGCAATAATCTGCTTCGGAACACTCAGTTTGGGTTCCACCAGGGCCACTCAGATCCTGACCTCATCATAGCCTTTGTTCAAATATCAACTAAAGAATTGAATTCCAGAGGTGAAGTGAGAGTGACCACCCTTGACATCAAAGCTGCATTTGACCAAGTGTGGAAACAGGGAACTCTAGTGAAAATGGGATCAGTGGTAATTAGGGGGAAAACTTTCTGTAGGTAGAGTCATACTTGACACAAACAAAGATGTATGCAGTTGTTGGAGGTCAGTCAACTCAGTTTCAGAACCTCCCTGAATGCATTCTCGGGGTAGGGTCCAAGGCCCAACCGTCTTCAGTTGCTTCATCAATGACCTTTTACCCCGTCATAAGGTCAGAAGTGGTAATGATTGCTAAAGATGACACAATGTTCAGCACCATTTGCGACTCTACAGATACTGAAACAGTCTATATTCAAAAGCAGCAAGATCTGGACAATATTATAGTTTGTAATGCTATATGGCAAGTAACATTTATGATACACAAGTGCCAGGCAATGATCATTTCCAACGAGAGAAAATTATATCATTGCCCTTGACATTCAATGGCACTGCCATCACTGAATCCCCCATTTATCAACATTTTGGGGTTACTAATGACCAGCAATTGAACTGGATTAGCCATATAAATACAGTGGCTACAACAGCAGTTCAGAGGCTAGGAATCCTGCAGCGACTACTTCCTGACTCCTCAAAACCTGTCCCCCATCTACAAGGCACAGGTCGGGAGTGTGATGGAATACTTTCCACTCCTCTTGAAGAGTGCAGCTCCAGATTTAGCCTGACTGCCAGCAACACACAGTCACAGCAATGTACCTTCTGAAAAATGCACTACAACAATTCACCTAGGATCTATAGACAGCATCTTCTAAACACACAAACATTACCATTGAAACGGACCAGGATAGCAGATAAATGGAACAACACCACCACCTCCAAACACCACATACACCATCCTGCACTGGAAATACATTGCCATTCCTTCAATTTTTCTGAATCAAAATCCAGGAACTCCCTCCCAAATACATTGTACCTACAGCAAATGGACTGCAGTGGTTTGGGAAGTCAGCTCACCTCCATCTCCTCAAAGGAAATGAGGGATGGGCAATGAATGCTCACTCGAGCAGCAGCACACACATCCCATAAATCAATAAAGAAATTTCTGTCCTGGGCCTACTAGTATTCCAATAAAGCTCAACAATGAGGAACTATGCCTCATTTTCTGCTTAGGCACTTCATAGCCACTAGGACTTACTGTATTCCACAGCTTCAGAGCATAACCTCTGTCCTCTATTTTTATTATAGCTCAAAATTGGCAGAATCATCTTTAATAATTTTGTGCAACAGCATGCTGAAATGCCAAGAGTGGTGTATTATGGTGTTAGTTCACCTGTGGTAGGAGATTCTGTAGTGATTATACTAAGGTCAGCTAGCTGGATCTCACAGAATGAATTCCTTAATTGGGGTTATTAATCTGGTCCAATCAGGGAGCCCTGGCTGACATTTTAAAAAAGAAAAAGGGTGTCAGAGATTCTGGATCTCTAAGAGCTGGCTCTGAAGAGGCAATACTGGAGTCAAGGACTCATCATATATAAATAAAGGATGACTTAGTGATGGGATATCAGCCTCTGTGGAGTTATTTCAGTGGTGATGAGTAAAGAATGCTACTGAAGAAACTTGCTCACAACAGTTGTAATAGACTTAGGTTAAGCATTTCTTATATCATGCCTTTGCATGATCGATTTGTTTGATTTGTTTGACCCCGTTGTTGAGGACTGGGCCCAGTATGTGGAAAGAATTTTTCTTTTCCCAGCAAGCAACATTGTGGCAGATGAAAAGTAATGAGCAATTCTCCTGACAGTCTGTGGAGCCGCAGCTTTTTCTGTTATGAGGAGCCTAACTTACTCTGAGACACCAATACCAAAACCTTTTGAAGAATTAATGGACGTAGTTAAGGAATATTATGATTGCCGTTCTCTGATTCTGAGATGTGATTGCTTTTACTTGGTAATTCAAGAACTGGGGAATCCCTACCAGGATTTTTGCCTAATTTAAGATGACTGACAGAAGCATGTGACTTTTGTTTAACCCTTAAAGAGATGTTGAGAGACCATTTGGTAGGTGGGATTAATGATGTAACCATACAAAAGCACCTACTAGCTTAAGCCCAACTGGACTTCAAAACAGGTGCTGCAACTGGCTTCATGATTGGAAAATGTGACAAGTGGAACATATGAGTTACAGTGTACTCCAATGGGTGTGGGCACCCTCGCAATCTGACTGAGCTTGGGGAACACCACTTGAGAGACAGCAATTGCATAGCCTAACTCAGGAAATACCTCAATCAGAGGGACACTAGGTCGATCTGCAATAAAACCCCAAAACAAAGCCAAGCCTTAGGTAAATGGTTAATACTTCCTTCAGGATCCTGGCCGGTAAGCCATTGTAGTTGCTGTTGGTATACGAACACGATGGTTAAAGACACTTACTATATCTAAATTGAATAAGATAACTCATAGGCCAGTATCCAGGAGAATTCATACCTGAAATGTCCAGATACGTCTGGCTTGGAATAGTTAAATTGCTTAGCAACACCCAAATCAAAATAAACATCTGGTTAAATGCTCACCCGGATTTGATAGAGGTTGATACTGCCACGGCTGTCTCAGTAGTTGCAGAACCAGTTTTTAACAAAATTCATTCTAGACTTCAGCCTTTAAGTTTGTGCAAGACCTCCGCTAGACTGAGAACCTATACCGGAAAACTAGTACAGATTAAGGGTATAACTTATGAAAAGCAGCTGGTTCAGTTACCAGTGATTGTAGTAAAAAGGCTTGGGGCCCAAACTTGCTGTTTTAATACTTGTTTGCGAGAGATTCACTGAGATTGGCTCAACATTTTTCAATTAGAAAATGGCTGTCTGAAGTCCTAATTAAATACTCAAGTCTTCCAGGAAGATCTAGGGACTATCAAAGGAACCAAGGCCACCTTACATGTTTACCAGGAAGCAATTCTGTTTTTCTGCAAGGCTTGCACAGTATCATTGGTCTTTCGTGAAAAAGTAGAGGCAGAAATCAGAAAGCTGGAATGTGAAGAAATTGTCAAACCAGTTTAATTTGCAGAATGGACAGCTCTGGTCATACCTTTTATGATGATTTCAAACAAACAGTGAACTGCTTTTTGTAGCTGGCTGAATACTCAGTCCTTCAGGTAAGGATTTGTACACAAAATTGGCAGGGGTCTACCCTTCATGGACCCAGACATAAGCAATGCTTACTTGCAATTGTGTTTAGATAAGGATTCCCAGGAGTATGCTACAATTAATATCCATAAGGGCTTGTACCAATATACGAGACTGACATTCGAGGTGTCATCAGCCTATTCCATTTTTCAGTGGATGATGGAGAACATTTTGCAAGGACTGCCTTGCATTGCCATTTATGTGGACAACATTCTAAAAGCTGGGAAAACTAATAACGAACACTTAGAGAACTTGGACATAGTATTAAGGCATTTTTCCAAGGTGGGCAAATGCCAAAGAAGGGAAAAATGCGTGTTCCAGGCACCCCATGTGATCTACTTGGGCTACAGGGTCGACAAGACTGGGTTACACCCTTTGAAAAATAAAGTGAGGATGATCAAAGGTGCCCCGGCTCCCACGTCTGCCCAGGAGCTTAGGTCATTTCTTGGGCTGGTAAATTATTACAGAAAATTCACGCGTAACCTGGCCTCCATCCTGGCACCTTTGCATTAACTCCTTAAAAAAAAGGGTCAGCCTCGGCTTGTCTGTGCAACCATTTCCCTAACTTTCAGTGAAGTAAAGACACACCTATCATCCTCTAAGGTGTTGGCACATGATCCGAAGAAATATCTGGTATTGACATGCAATGCCTCCCCGTATGCGATCGGCATGGTATTAGCTCATGGTTGGCCTTATGGACAGGAATGCTAAATAGCGTATGCACCCCGGACTTTGACTAATACAGAGCATAAGTACACCCAGATAGAGAAAGAAGGATTAGCAGTCATATTTGGAGTCAGGAAATTCTGCCAATACCTTTTTTGGATGAAATTTGTGATGATAATGGAGCGCAAACCCCTAATTTGTCTGCTTAAAGAGGACAAGGCAGGGTCGCCCATAGCTTTGGGCATTATTCAGCGGTGTGGTCTAATATTAAGCACTTATAATTATAAGTTGGAACACGGTCCGGGAGGCTAAGTAGCAAATGTGAATGCATTGACCTGCCTCCTATTAGCAGATACACCACTGGTGGTACCCCCAGTTGAAGAGTCTGTAATGGTTTCACATTTTCTGGTGGCGATGGGGGAAGCCAAAAGGCTGTCGCAACCAGAACTGAAACCTTTTTGGACTGGAAAGACAAGCTTACGGTCGAGGACAACATATTGTTAAGGGAAACAACAGTGATTGTCCCGAGCAAGGGTTGCCACCAAGTACTGGTTGAACTCCAGCAGGGCCACCCAGTCGTCTCCAAAATGAAGATATAATGTCTGGTGGCCAGGCATGAATGCAGACACAGCTTCATTGGTGGGGCAGTGCCCTGTGTGCCAACAAGGACAAAATTACCACCAGCAGCTCCCCCACATCAGTGGGAATGGCCTTTTACACCTGGTACTTGGTTTTTTGTCAACTATGCACATCCTTTCATGGACTAAATGTTCTTAGTCATTGTAGACACCCACTTAAAGTGGTTGGACATGCGTAGAGTTCATTTGCCAAACATGGAGATGCAATAGAAAAACTGCACGCATCTTTTTCAGTACACAGAGTCCCTGAAGTTGTGGTCACAGATAATGGGCCATCATTTACCAGCAGGGAATTTGGGTATTTCCTGAAGTTGAATAGGATTCAACGTATAAGGACAGCTTCATACCACCCATCATCCAATGGCTTGGCATAAAGAGCAGTCCAAACTTTGAAGGCAGGTTTGAAGAAACAGCTGACAACCCCACTTGATACTAAGCTGTCATTGGTTTTTATCTGATTACAGAAACACTGCACATGGACTACTGAAATAACACGGCAGAGTTGCTAACGGGTAGAAGACTCCACACCAGGTTAAGCCTGATTTTCCTGGACCAGGGTGTGGGCAAAAACAGCATCAGGAATGCCAAAGCTGGACAGAATACTCCGCCAAGCAAGGGAGACTGTTTGATACAGTGAACAACGTTTGGTGTAAGAACTATGGAAATGGCCCTGCATGGGTAAGAGGCATGGTCGACACAAGGTCAGGACCAGTGACATTTAAAGTTTGGGTAGGTGCAACAGTTCTAAACAAGCACCTGGACCATATGAAAGCTGCGAATGCATGAACAATACGTAAGCAAAACATGCCCTGCTCCTTGGAACACTTGGAAAGGCTGCAGGAACCTGCGGGTTCACCCTCTCCAAGTGTTGATGAGTCCCCTGGATCAGATTGTCATGACGAATGTAGCCACCCTGACATCATTGCCGCTGGAAGAAAGTGAAATTTTATTGAGATGCTCCTGGCCCAAGAGGTGAGCTCCCATGTGTTATGTACCGCCCATACTGGACACTGTTAGAGGAACCTGACCCAGTGCTAAAATGGTCCAGGAGGCTCTCCGAGAAAATAAACCGACCGATGTCCTCCGACTCCGAGGAGGAGGGATGTACTGATTGTAACGACGTCAGCCAGCTGGACCTCAGAATATGAGTTCCCTGATTGAGGCTGTTCATTTGGTCCAATCAGGGAGCCCTGGCTGACAGATAAAAAGAGGAATGTCAGATATTGTGACACTCTGAGAGCTGACTCTGAAGAGACAATACTAGATTCAAGGACTGTTCATGTGTAAATAAAGGGTGACTTGGTGAAAGGATATCAGCCTCTGTGGAGTTACTTCAGATTCCTCATTCTTCAAGTAGGTCCAAGTTGTAAATGACTTCATTGCCTCCTGTAGGCGCTCTCATGATTACGAGACTTGTGCGAATTTGGCAAGGCTGTCTACAGTTTATGTTGCTGTTGATGCTTGGAAAAGCTTCTGCATCTGCACTTCCACTGGCCTCACCAGTAAAAATGTAGTTAAATGCGTTCTGCAGTAACCTAATTAGCTATGAATAATACTTGGTCTTATTGTTTAAAATATTTTATATTTTTTAAGGTGTGAGAAATGTTGCAGAGTGTTTGGCAAATGCAAAACTGGAAAAGACCCTAGAACAGGCTCAGATCTTACTGGAATTACTAGCACAAGGCAACCCAAAGTATCAACTACAAGTGTACAAAGGATTGATTGCATTATTACCATGCACTTCCCCAAAGGTACAACAACTGGCTCTTCAGACACTTATGACTTTGCAGGTGAGAAATTACAATAGTTGCACGTGTACATATGATCACATTTCTTTTTAATGGTCATAGTTTTGTTCCTTTTTATGTTGTTCTTCATATCTGTTGTAGTCCCATGAATCTCTTCATGACCAGAAGGTGAACTAGGCAGCCTCCATTAAGTCTCCTCTATAACTGCATGATTTGAAGTATGGAACAGGATTCAACAGCAGCTAATTTTAAGGCCATAGTACTCTAGGCTGTGTTGATGGTTGACTGTTGTTTATTTCTGTACAATGGTTAATGATGAAAGACAATTAAAGCTTAACTGTTCTGATATGAGGTCAATGAATTGAAACAGTATTAAACCAATTAATGCTGAGATTTGAAGATTTGTTTTATTTTATAATTTAAATTAATATTGCTTCTTTTAACGTTTCAAAGGGTTTCACAGCCAGTGAAATATTTTGCAAGTGGATTGTTGTGTTGGAAGAAAACCCAGCAACCAAATTGTTCATAGTGAGGTACCACAAACTGCAATGAAATAATAACCAGACCACCTGTTGGTAATGTTTGAGGAATAAATATTACCTGGATATTGGAAGAATTCCCTTTTAACTCTGAATTATGCCTTGGGATCTTTTACTTGGAGTGTGGATAGGACTTTGGTTTAATGTTTCATCCAATTGACAGCATTTCTGACAATACTGAGCAATTTTGCATTGTCAAGTCAATTAATTAACTCCATAAAATTAAAAAGGAAACCCAAAGAACTGCAGGGAAAATTGCTTCATTCTGTACTACTTCGTGTCTAGTTACAGAACAGTATTGGCAGAAAGTTGCAGGCTATGTCTCTGTACCAAGAAGTTGCTCTGGGAAACCAGCAAATGTTCCCTTTTTTTGAAATATTTAATTTATAAAACATGCTTTTAAATGTCACCGAGCACTTTTTTGTTCTTTAGACAGCTGTAAAGATTGTACATCCTTGCATTGTGGAACCACTTTTGAACGTATTGAAAACCATTCACTACGAAGTGCAATATGAAGGTAAATTACTGTCTGTGTTGGGCTAATATGGGATTGCACCTCCAGTTAGATTCCTTATTTTCTGTTCGTAGTTTTCAGGAATAAGGTTTTATCTACAGCCTGTGCTGCTTAAATACTTTAAAAGCAGTTTTGCAGAAATCCAGACTGAAAATATTCTTTATCAGGCCAAAACTCAGGTCTCTGCTAAAGATGATTTATTTAAAACTGATAATTAGACAATACATTTCACAAAGCAATACTGTTAATGCTTAAAATGAATGTGTTTCTCTTTACATTCAAATGTAGCCACTTGAAGAAGCTTAACTTGATAATGTTGGACTGTATTTTCCAGGGAATGGTGTTCATTGTCAGATTGCCACTCTGCTTCATGTTTCTGGAAAAGAATCTGATCATGGATTCTGCAGAAAGTGGAGCATACCTTAAATGAAATTGTCTATTTGGGGTATGGATGGTCAGAGGAAAGCAAACCACACCACCTTTCTCACAGCAGTAGTTGCCATATTCTGTGACGTAAATATCCAGTGGAGCAGATTGACAATTGGACAGCTCCTCTGAAGTGGTATATATGTAAGTGTGAGGTTTTGGTACCTGCTGGGTAGGGTGCAAGTAGGTAAATAGCTAGGTGGATAGAGTGCATGGGGGGGAGGTACCAGGCTGGAAGAGTCTTCGGTAAATGGTTGAGTGTTTAAGGTAGATCAATGCAGATGGAGGAATGTCGTTCAGTAAGGAGGGGAGTGGTTGGTGTCTGGCAAAGGGATGGGGGTTTGTCAGGGTGAGAGGTGGTTAGAGTGGTGTCAAGTCTGGGAGTGTCAGGTGGGTTTGTGTATTGGGTCCTGATGGGAAATGGAGACAGTACTGTTGGGTGGTGTCCAGCTTCATGTCCCGATGGTGAAGTGAGGGTACTGGGTTCTGTAGTGATTGATTTGTTCCGGGACGTGGAGGGAGGGGAGTGGCATGTCAGACTTCAGGGATAATAGGGAGTGGGAGGCAGCGTTGTTGGTTTTCAGGGCAGGAGGGAGGTGTCCCTACAGAGTGAGAGGGAACTCTCGGGTGACCAGGACAAAGGAGTTGTCAGGTCTGTTTCACGCCTTGGCGGATTAGCACAGTGTTGAATTCTGGGGTGGGATTTTGCATGGAGGTGGGGTCCAAGGGGCTGCCTGATCTGGCAGAGAGGCAGTTTGTAGGGTCTGGTGGTGGGAAGATTTTGTAGCATAAGGGGTTGGAAGATTTGTGGTTAGTGGTGTGCATGGTAAGTTGGGAATTAATTGTCTAACATTTCCTAGCTAACTATTAATTTAACTGCAGCCGAATTTGAAGGTCTGGCAATGGAGTAGATCATACAAATAAGCAAATGGCTGTTGAGTGTGGCTGGGAACTCTGTCCTGTTAGCATCCTAGCTAACAGAGTTCCTAGCCACACTAGAATCCACACTGAAGACCAATGGCATCAATGAGGAAACACAACAAGCCATAAGACAGACAGTGGTCCAAACACTGACCAGAAGTAGCAAACTTAACACTCTCAACACATCAGAAAAGAAGGCCCTAGAAGGACTGAAAAAAGACAAAAACATCTAAATCCCATCAGCGGACAAAGGGCACATGACAGTCATACTAAACAAACGGGACTACCTCACTAAAGCATAGACGCTACTAGCAGACATCCACACAAACCGGCAAGTGCAAATAGACCAGCCACACGCAACTGGGTAACAAAATAATCAACACGCTGAAGAGACTCAAACAGACCGGACGAATCAACAAAATGGATTAAAAATAAAACCTGAAGGGACAAACACCACCACCACCAGCACCCCCACCACACCCACCACCCCACCCCCAACCAATTCTACGGCCTCCCAAAGGTACACAAACCAGAAGTACCCCTCAGGCCCATAGTTCCCTCCCAGGCACACCAACACACAGGTTAGCCAAGGAATTATAACAAAGACTAAAGCACCTCATTAGCGCGTCACCTCACTCAATCCACTCAGTCCAGGAGTTCCTCAAATCCCTCAAAGACATAAGAATAGACGAGACCATGGTGTCCTTTGATGTTACCAGCCTATTCTCATTGATTGACATACTACTGGCAAGAGAGATACTAGCAACACTACTAAAAGAACAAGACCTGAGTGACACCGTCTCCACAGACAACATTACTGGACCTATGCCTCACGATCCACTTTACCTTTAATGGCCAAATCTATGAACAAATCAATGGGACATCCATGGGATCACCTATCTCCGGACTAATAGGAGAAGTAATGATGCAGAGACTTGAAAGCATGGCCCTTCTGCAGATCTAACCTAAACTATGGATCCAATATGTGGACGACATTTTCGGTCATCATCAAATGGACTAAACTAGAGGAGACAGACCAACTAATAAACAACACTCTCACCAGCATCAAATTCACCAGGGAAGAAGAAAAGAACAAACAGCTCCCATTTCTGGACGTCATGGTAGAATGCAGGGCCAATGGGGAATTTCTGACGAAGGTACACAGAAAGGCCACACACACGGATCAAGTCCTGAATTTCAGCAGTAACCACCCCAACACCCACAAATGAAGTTGCATGAAAACACTATTTAAACGAGCGACAACACACTGCAGCAACCCGGAACTACGCCAAAACAAAGAAGAATATCTCTACCAAGTATTTAAGGACAATGGATACCCGTACAGCTGGGTGCGATGATGCCTATCACACAAACAACAACAGGAAGATACAGTACGCCCTGACGCAGTCATCATGTTACCGTACATCAAGAACATATCCGAACTGATCACAAAGACTCCTATGACCATTGGGCATCAGAGTGGCACACAAAACTATGTCAACCCTAAGCCAACTGCTAACTCGAACCAAAGACCCCTTACCCACTATAGACTGAGCCAATGTGATATACAAGATCCCATGCAAGGATTGCAACAAACGTAACATTGCACAGACAGGAAGGAAACTGGTCACAAGAATACATAAACACCAACTAGCAACAAAAAGACAGGACGACTACTCACTTGTCTCCATTCACACGGATAAGGAGAACCACCAGTTTGATTGAAACAACATCAGGAGCCTAGGACAGGCCAAACAGAGACAAGCATGGAAATTTATAGAGGCCTGGTTCTCCACCAAGAAGGCCATCAATAAACATGTAGAATTAGACCCTATATGTACACCACTGCAAAGAAAAACCAGAAATGAGGTAATCAACTCCAGCTGACCCCAGTGTTTAAATACCAGGCGGGAAAACACAAAAACCCTTCATCGGAGGCTGCACTGATGATGTTACCCACCAGGGTAATGAAACATCTGCGAACTAACGAACCAGTTCGACAAATGAACCAACCATAGCATCCACAACCCGAGCTACAAATCTACTCAAGAACATTGTTCAGCGATGTTTTGACACTTTTTGAGCAGGTGGGACTTTAACCTGGGCTTCTTGGCACAAAGGTAGGGACACTAGTACTGTGCCACAAGAGATCTCTTCATAGATTTCTTAAAAATTGTGTTTGATGTGTTTTGACACATCTCTGGGACCAGGTGGGACTTGAACACAAGATAGGGACACTACTACTGCATCACAAGACACCTCTCTTCGCACCACCACCCCCCACCTTTCCTCCCATTTTTCTTATATCCAGAAGCTTCTTACACACAACTGAACAGGTTCTGTGCGACCCTGCTATCAGCAAATGACGTGCTATTTTTTCCTTCTATTTACCACCGCCAGTAAATCGCCTGTGTTTTCAATTGAACAAGTTACATGCACAGCCCATTAAGGGCACTGCAAATCATCAAACCCTGTTGTTTTATAAACAATTAACGTCTTTCTCTATTTATCCTTTAACTTTAACTACTTAACATTGACACCCATCACTAGTTTACCACATCCATTTGACATTAACAAGTGGGATAATTGAATAGCTCTATGAAAGAGCTACACAGGTCTTCTTTTATGTTTTAACATTCCTATGATTCAATCAAAAATTCAGCAGCCAAAAATCCAATTTTGTCGCATTGCCATTGGAGATAAGAGTTTTTCTGTGAAAAATTAAGGTCACCTTATGTTACATGCAATGATTACTGTTCTGCAGGAATCGAATTTATCAAGGTACTTCTGAAATATAATGTACGAAAAGCTCTGCTAGAAGGATTAGTTGCACGCCTTAATCCATCAGTGGATAACATACAGAATCGACCGAAAATTCTTGATGGTAAGAAAGAAATTGGAAAGGCCGCAAGGTGTAATTCTGTAGTACTTACTGAGTCATCTCAAAAATGTGACAAGAGTGCAAGTTGCAAAGAGTGGAACTTGAGAGTTTTGTGAAGGTGGGAGTTTGGTGAAGTAGGGAAGGGAGGAACTGCTGCCTTGTTTTCCAACATACTTCCTCCAATCAGTGGGGGCTGGAACTGACCAAGGCACAAGAGCTAAGAACTTCTTCAGAAGAAGGGTCCAGACTCAAAAAGTCAGCTTTCCTGCTCCTTTGATGCTGCTTGGCCTGCTGTGTTCATCCAGCTCTACACCTTGTTGCAGAAGAACTCAGTTGGGAATAATCTACAGATCCCCTAACAGTAGTTTCGCAGAAAGACACTGTACAAACCAGGAAAAACTTAAACAATTCTGTATGATTTAAATATTTGTATATATGACTGGATCAATCAAATTGACAAAGGTAGCATTGAGAGAGAGTTCATAGTGTGTATATTAGGGATTGTTTCTTGGAGAAACAATTGGGGAACCAACCAGGGAGCAGGCTGTTTTGGTTTTAATATTGTCTAATGAGATGGGATTGATTGATGATCTCACAGTAAAGGATCCTCTAGGGAAGAGTGATCATAGCATGCTGGAATTTCAAATTCATTTAGAGGACGAGAAACTTGAATAGTGTTCTGCTGTTAAACAAAGGTAATTACGTAGGCATGAGGACAGATTTAGCCCTAGTCGACAAGGCAGAAAGACTAAAAAAAGGACAGTTGATGAACAGTGGTAGACATTTACGGAGATACTCAATTTCTTGCAACTAAAATATACTGTAGAGAGGAAGAAAAATTGTAAGAGGAGGAAATAGCATCCATGGCTAAGCAAGGAATTTAAAGATAACATAAGGGCAAAAAGTAAGGTATATCGTATTGCAAAGTTCACTGGCAGGCTGGAGGATTTAGAAACTTTTAAAGGCTAACAAGGCCACTAAAAAGAAAGAGCAAAGGTTATTTATGAGAGAAGGCTTGCAAAATATAAAAACAGCTGGCAAAAGCAGTGCTATGTATATCAAAAAAAGATAGTACCTAAATGTTGGACCCTTAGAGAATGAGACTGGGGAGTTAATAGTGGGAACAGAAATGGCAAAAACTCTGAATCAGTGCTTTGTCCCATTTTTCACAGAAGATGCTGAAATTATCCCATAGAAAAGGAGGCACTTAAAAGAGTCACCATTACTCGGAGAAAAGTACAGAACAAACTATTGGGAATGAAGGCATTCAAGTCCCCATATTCTGATGGCCTACGTCTAAGGAAGTGGCAGCAGAGATAGTGGATGCTTTGGTTATAATATTTCAAAATTCCCTGAATTCTGGAAAGGTTCCAGTTGAATGGTGAAATGCTAATAAAACGCCCTTATTCAAAAAAGGCGGGAGGCAAGAAGTAGGAGACAGTTCGTTTAATATGTGTTGTTGGGAAATTGTTGGAATCCATTAAGGAAATAGTAATGGGACATTTTGGAAAGTTAAAACACAATTCAGAGTTGGCGTGGTTTTATGAAAGGTAAATAGTGTTTGATTGAAGAACTCTAGCAAATCAAAGATGTAACAAGCAAAGTGAATAATGGGGGTCTGTAGATGTGGTATATCTGGACTGCCAAAAGACATTTGATGTAGTGCTGCTCAAAAGGTTAACACACAAGGTACGTTCCCATGGGGTTAGGGGTAATATATTAGCTTGGATAGAGGATTGGCTAACCACAAGAAGCAGAGTATTGGGATAAACAGACCTTTTTCTGATTGGCAAGCTGTAACCAATAGGGTACCACAGGGTTTGGTCCTCCAGCCACAACCATTCACAACCTATATTAATGACTTTGATGCAGGGATCGAAAGTAATCCAGCCAGATTTGCAGATGAGACAAAGAGGTGGGAAAAAAATGAAGAAATAAAAAATTAAAAATGGATATGGATAGGTTAGGTGAATGGGACAACACTTGGCAGATGGAGTTTAACGTGGATAAGTGTGAGGCTATCCATCTTAGTCAGAAGAATTTTTAAAAATCAGATTATCTAAATGGAGTGAAACTAATACTTCAGTGCAGAGGATTTGGATGTCCTTGTGTATGAGTTGCAGAAAGCTAGTACAGCAGATAAAAAGGAAGGCAAGTAGAATATTGGCATTATTGCTGAAGGAATGGAGTATATATGTAGATAAGTGTTACAGTTGTACAGGTATTGGTGCGACTGCATCTGGAGTACTCCGTCTTGGTCTCTTTACTTGAGGAAGAATGTAATTGCATTGGAACAAGTTCAGAGAAATTACATTAGATTATTGTAGAGTCACACAGTAATACAGCATGAAGAAGGGTCCCAACCGAAACGTCAACTTTCCTGCTCCTCTGATGCTGCCTGGCCTGCTGTGTTCCTCCAGCTCCACACTGTGTTATCTCTGACTCCAGCATCTGCAGTTCTTACTATATCTCATGGAAACAGACCCTTCAGTCCAACTTGTCCATGCCGACCAGATATCCTAATCCCGTTTGCCAGCATTTGGCCCATCTCTGTCTAAACCCTTCCTATTCATGTGCCCATCCAGATGCCTTTAAATGTTGTAATTGTACCCACCTCCACCACCACCTCTGGCAGCTTGTTCCGTACACGCACCACCTTCTGTGTGGGGGGAGAAAAGTTTTCCCGTACAAATGGAAACTTTTAAATCTTTTCCCTCTCACGTTAAACTAATTCCAGAGATAAGAGGCTGGTCTTAGGAGGAGAGATTGAGCAGTTTGAGCCTATACTCGCTGGAGTTTAGGAGGATGAGAGATCAATTGAGGTATATAAGATGCTAAAGTTGAGGTAATCTCGAATGCGAGGTCATAGTTTTAGGCTTTGGGTGGCAGATTTCAAACAGAGATGAGGAGGAATTATTTCTCGGAGGGTCGTAAATCTTTGGCATTCACTACACCAGAATGCAGTGGATGCTGGGACAATTTAAGGAGGCGATAGAAAGATTTTCAATTAGTAATGGGTTAAAGGGTTGTGTAGAGCCAGCAGGAAAGCGGAGTTGAGACCGAGATGGCAGCAGCCATGGTCGTATTAAATGGTGGAACATGCTCAAGAGGCTGGATTGCCTCTCTTCCTCCTCCTAGTTCTTATGTTTTTAAATCAATAATGCTCAACCTGAATGGTGAAAAGTTTTATTTATTTGTTTATTAGTTACCTTTGGCAGAGAAAAGTTGAATGGATTACGTAGCATTGGATCTCTCCGAATAGAGTCCAATGAGTATAACATTCGATATAACTTTGTGAATTGAGGCAAGGACTCTTATTTGTTAGTACTGCCAGAAGGCACGTGGCTGTTACTGTGGTATGGCGTAGGTAATACATTTGATTTAATCCAAATGAGGGTTAAATGTTCCAGTTTTATAAGTTTAAATTGGTGCTCAATTTAATGTTCAACTATATATAAAAAATTCAAATAATGCGATTTTTTTTATAACCATTTATGAAGTGGAATATTTTAAAATATAGCAGTTGTAGAATTTGCAGTTTAATGTGCAAGTTTGGTTTAGCTGGTAGCACTCCTGCTAGTTATGGATCTTTTTATAACTAGTTAATGCAAGTTTCCCTCCAGATTTCGAATGTGTAATGTTTCTCGGGTTGTAATGAGGGAGTGATAATTCTTAAAAATGTCATCCCATACCTTGTGGCAAGGTACTAAATTGGCAGAGGGCAAATTATGTAAGTATTAGGCAGGAGCTAGGGAGTGCTAATTGGGAGGAGCAGTTATTAGACAAGTCCACATTTGACATGTGGGAACTGTTCAAAGACCTGCTGATGGCAGTTCAGGACTGGCAAGTTCCAGTAAGGAGGAAGGACAAGTATGGCAAAGTAAGGGATCCTTGGATAATGAGGGAGATTGTGAATTTAGTAAAGAGGGAAAAAGAAGCATATGTAAGGTTTAGGAAGCTAAAATTGGACAGGGCCTATGAGGAATATAACACAAGCAGGAAATAACTCAAGCAGGGAATTAGGAGAGCAAGAGGGCGCCATGAAAAGACCTTGGCAAGTAAAGTTAAAGAGAATCCCAAGGCATTCTATAAACACATTAAAAACAGGAGGATAACTAGGGAGAAGGTAGGACCACTCAAGGATAAAGGAGAGAACTTGTGCCTGGAGGCAGAGGATGTGGGTGAGATCCTAAATGAGTGCTTTGCATCAGTAATCACCCTGGAGAAGTATAAGAAGGATAGTGAAATTTGTGTGGAGCATGCTAATATGGTATTTTGAGATCAAGAAAGAAATGGTGTTGGGTCTGTTGAAAAGCATTAAGGTAGGTAGGTCCCCAAGGCCTGATGGTATCCACCCTAGGTTACTGAGAGAGGCAAGAGAGGAGATTGCTGGGGCCTTGACCAAGATCTTTGTGACCTCATTAGCCTTTGGCGAGGTCCCAGAGGACTGATCAGTAGCTAATGTTATTTTTCTGTTCAGGAAGGGACATAGGGATAATCTAGGAAGCTATAGACCGGTGAGTCTCACACACCGGTGGTAGGGAAGCTATAAGAGAGAATTTTTAGGGATAAGATTTATGCACATTTGGAAAAACATGGCCTAATTAGGGACAGTTAGTATAGCTTTGTGCAGGGCAGGTCATGTCTTACTCACTTGATTGAATTTTTCAAGGAGGTAACAAAGATAATCGATGAGGCTAGAGCAGTGGATGTTGTCTACATGGATTTTGGTAAAGCTTTTGATAAGATCCCTCATGGTAGGCTCACCCAGAAGATTAAAATGCATTGGATCCATGTGACTTGGCTGCATGGATTCAGAATTGGCTTGTCCACAGAAGGCAGAGGATAGTGGTGGAAGGATGTTTTTCTGGCGGGAGGTCCGTGACTCGTGGTGTTCTACAGGGATCTACAGTGGGACCTCTGTTGTTTGTGACATATTTAAATTACTTGGATGAAAACGTACATGGGTGGATTAGTAAGTTTGCAGACGATACAAAGATCAGTGGAGTCATGGATATTATAGAAGGTTGTCAAAGGATACAGCGGGATATAGATCAGTTGCAGGTATGGGCGGAAAAATGGCAGGTGGAGTTTAATCTGTGTAAGTGTGAGGTGCTGCACTTTCGGAGATTAAATGTTATGGATGTGTACAGTTAATGGTAGGACCCTGAACAGCATTGATATCCAGAGGGATCTTGGGGTTCACGTCCATAAGTGGCCATGCAAGTAGATAAGATGCTAAAGAAGGCATATGGCATACTTGCCTTTATTGGTCAGGGAATTGAGTACTAGAGTCAGGTTGCAGCTTTATAAAACTTCGGTTAGGCCACGTTTAAGAGTATTGCTCACCATATTACAGGAAGGATGTGGAGGCTCTCGAGAGGATGCAGAAGAGTTTTACCAGATGCTGCTTGGATTAGAGGGTACAGGCTATAAGGAGAGCGTAGAAAAATTTGGGTTGTTTTTTCTGGAGTGGCGGAGACTGAGGGGAGACTTGATAGAAGTCTATAAAATTATGAGATGCATAGATAAAGTTGATGTTCAGAATCTTTATTTCCCAGAGTTGAAATGTCTAAACTCGGGGGTATGCATTTAAGGTGAGAGGGGCAAAGTTCAAAGGAGATGTGAGGGGCAAGTTTTTTTTACAGAGAATGGTACGAGTCTGGAACGCGTTCCCGGGATGGTGCTGGAGACAGATATGATAGGGGCGTTTAAGATACTTTTAGATAAGCACGTGAATATGCAAGGAATGGAGGTATATGGACCAAGGGTAGGCAGGAGGTATCATGTTCGGCACAACATTGTGGGTCGAAGGGCCTGTTCCTGTGCTGTACTGTTCCATGTTCTATGTTCTATGATCTTAATAGGTACTGTTGAATTAGTAGTTTAGCTGGGCATTTAAAGATTCAAATGAAGGGTAAGGACTTCTGCCAAATTTGAGATTTCCCTGCTTCGCTCTCCTTCATTTAACCACATCAAAAACAGACCAGCCAGTTGGTATTTTAACAACTAACATTTACACCAGTAATGGTATGTCTAAGGCAGGCTATGCCTCAATTTTCCCTTTGCTGAGCTACCATCTTGTGCTGATATCCTAATTTTTCAGGTAGTCTAGACGCACCTTTTTTTTCCCTTTTATTGTAGTTTTTTCTGTCCATCCATCTACCAACTACATTAAGATCCCATTGCTTCTCAATATTTGAAAAAAAATCCCTAATTCTGCCTCATTTCTCTTCTCTTCCATAACAGCAAGGATTTCACAACCATTCTGACTCTTACAGCACTTCAAAGTTGCAGACAGTGGTTTAATTCTCCTTTGTCTTTGTTTTGACAGTAGTTGTTTCTCTTAGAGCTCTGAAAATTCACTCAGTTTTAGCTTCATACTTTTCACATTGCTTGAAACACAATGTGTTTAATGGCTGCCACAAACTAAAGTGAAAGCAAATTACGGCAGATGTAAGGCCTCATGACTACAGCAAGCCAGCCAGTACACTATGTAAATATGTATTTCTCCAGAAGCTCACTGGGAACTTTTGATATTCATTCATTCTCCAAACAGATAGTACTCAGTACTGAGACCAGCTAATTCAACAGAGATCAGATATTAAAACCAGGATTGACTGGTTATTATAGCTCAGATATAAATTATTTTTTCTAGATGAACTACTTGAATTAGTGTTTATTACTATGTTTTCAACGCAAAGATGTATTGGCATCTGGAAATAACTTTCACAAGGCAAGGTCTTTTTTAAAATGCATACATTCAGTATGACAGTAATTTTCTTTTGCATTTAGATGAACCCACCTTACCTTTGTTTGTACAACAGACTGCAGCAGCCAAAGCAATTGGGTAAGTGCCAAGTAATCTTAAGATAAATTTCAGGTTGCCACTAATATTGCAAATCACTAACTGAACAATTGTTAACAAACCAAGGAATCTGTTGTTATGCTGAGAGATCCGTGGCATTGTGCAATGAGTTGGACTGTACAGTTTTATAACATGGATCGAGGTGGAAGAGGGAGTTAACTTCTCAATATAAAGTCCTGTTTGAAATTTGTTGAAAATCTTATTTTGGACTCTAGAAATTTCAGATACTGAGAAACAAAAAAACGTAATGGATTTCTTTTTCCCCAATGACTTTAAAGATAGCAAATGCAAAATGCTGAATTTGGATTCTTCTATTAGAACATAACATTTTCCATTGCCAATATTGACATGCTGGAAAATGTTTTAAAAAAAAAACCTCTTTTTGGACAGGACAGGATAGAATAAGTGTAATTTTCAACATATTGATAGATTGGCTGAAAATAAAAGGGCTAATTTCAAATTTCTTGTAGGGAGCAGGTCGTGAATGATGCAAATTCATGGGCACAGACTCGATATATTCAGTCCGTTTTTAATTAGTTTTCTCTTGCAAGCACAAAAATGACCTTTATATGGGTTGGCTTAGTCGTAAATGAAGGCTATGTTTCAAATGAGAACTTTGAAGAAAGGTTACAGTATCCATATTCTGCAGTATTAGTATGGGTATCATTTACCTGTACTTTTCTAAAATAGAGGCAATTTGCCATATAAGCATCCGTTAAACCATCCCTTCTTTAAGTATTTAAGTCCGATCATATCACACACCATTCATATGCTGAAACACTAGGCAATAAACTGCAGTCAAGCTTGACTACATTAATCTTTAATCAAATGAAGCAGGGAATAGGGACATTGTCAATTCTCCTGGCTTATTGATCTTGTATGAAATTGGTTTGAGGAGCTTCAAAATAGTTTTTCGTGTGAGAGGTCACCAAACAGTTTCAGCAGTGACTCAATTGATAGCATATTTCACTCTGAATCAGTAAGCAGAAGTTCAAGTTCGAACCCAGGTACTTAGATCTAGGCTGACACTCAGTACTGCACTGAGGGAGTGCTCGCTAGCAGAATTGTCATCTTTCTGATGAGGAGGTTACCTGAGGCCTTGATTGCCCTCTCAGGTGGACATAAAAGATCCCATTGCATCATTTTAAATATGAGCAAGGTAGTTATCTCTGGTGACCTGGTCAATATTTTCCCTCAGTCAACATCACTTAAAGACAAAGCAGATTGAGTAAAATCTTGTATCCACGTTCATGACAAGCTTGGTGGTGTGAGACAGTTAATCGGGTGGGGAGGGTGGTGGTTTGGGACTGCTTTCCCCCCTGGCTGTCAAAACTATCCTGACTAAGTCTTTGATGGAAGGAATGAGGATGGTCTTTTTTTCTCTACCCAGAAGTTATTGTGCACAACTGAGCAACCTTCCCACCATCTTTTGCAATACACCCACTCCCAGAAGTGTTGGTCACAGACAGTGGGGCCATCGTTTACCAGCAGGGAATTCGAGTATTTCCTAAAGTCAAATGGCATTCGGCATGCAAGGACAGCTCCATACAATCCATCATCCAATGGTCTCCTGGAGAGAGCAGTCCAAACGTTGAAGGCAGGCTGAAAGAAACCGCTTACAGCTTCACTTGATACCAAATTATCCCGGTTCTGGTTTGATTATAGTATCACCCCTTACACCACTATATGGATAGCTCCAGAGTTGCTAATGGGGGGAAGACTCCACACCAGGTTAAATCTGATCTTCCTGGACCTGGTTGGGGGTTGGGTTAGGCTGAAACAACATCAGGAGCACCAATATCAGACACAAGACTCCTAAGCAAGAGAAAGAGATTACTTCAGGAGTCGAAGTTTGGTGTTGAAGCCATGGCAATGGCCCTGCATGGGTAAGAGGCAAGGTCAATGCAGGGTCAGGTCACATAATGTACAAAGTTTGGGTAGGAGAGGCAGTCCTGAACAAGCACATGGACCACATGAAAGATGCAATCTCGCAAACAGAGCAGGAGCAAAACATACCCGGCCTGTCAGAACATTCGACAAAGCTGTCAGAACCCAAGGGTTCTCCCTCTCTGCCTAGCGCTGAAGAAACCTATGGAGGACAAGATGGACGTGGCAGAGGTTGCAGCCTCGATGCCATTACTGCCTGAAGATGAATTTTGGCTGAAACGCTCTGGGAATAAGAGGCAGGCTGTGGTCTTGTACATGCCGCCAGTATCTGAGGCAGAGTGGGAAGAGCTGGACCTTGTGAGAAAAGGCTGCGAGGAAATGTCCTACGTCCGAGGACTTGAAGGAGCGGGATCTAGTGATTGGAAAGAGGTCAGCCATTATGTACTTCATAAAATAAGAGTTCCCTGATTGGGGTTGTTAACTAATAGGGAACCCTGGCTGACATAAACAGGAGTGTTAGGGGTTCTGTTCACTCTAGGAGCTGGCTCTGAACTAGCTGGGTCAGTGTCATGTACTATGCACGTGCAAGTAAAGTGTGACTTGGTGATGGCATACCTGCCTTTGTGGAGTTATTTCGCTTTGTCCCTCGAGGTACTGTTAGAAGATCTTTCCTGTCATTATTACCTTGCTTATCTATAATTCTTAGAATGCTTATATGAAGACTGATGCAAAACTGCATTTTAAATTATCTGCCGTTTCCCATTTTCATTCTCGAAGTCTCCCATACTTTAGCCATTCTTTTTATGCATCCACCCTGTTTGTTTTAATACTTTTTGCCAATTTAAATTTAAGACATCTGCTGCTGTTTCCTTTTAAAAAAAAAGCTCAATTCTCTAGCCAACCACAAGATTTCACTACTTTGTATGTCTTAGTTTTTGGTTGGATATTGTCCTTGACTGCCCTTTGTTAACCACAGGTGCTTCATCCTTCTCAATTCGTCCTTCTTTTCTTTTTGACAGGAATAGTTTTGCTGAATGCTATGAAATATCTGCTGAAATGTCTGTCACTGCTAATCCACTGACTTGCCCATTGATCTATTTTCCATGTCCTCTTCACAATAATTGAAGAAAGAGTTGTGTAATTGCCTCATTTAAGCTTAGGACATTAGTTTGAGACCCATGTTGCTCTCCCTCAAACTGAATTGAAATTCTGCCATGCTGTAATCGCAACCCCAGAGACTATTGTGCTGTCAACTCCTCTATCCTGTTACAAATGCTGCGCCCATTCAGCCAAAGAGCTTGAGGGTTGACTTTTTAAATCATACTCTGGTTATAATTTCTTCTGCCTATGTTTTCTACCCCTTCCTGCTATACTCCTATTGTTAACCTCTTTGCTACACTGCATCTCATTTCTCTTTGACTTTCTAAATTTCACTTCACTTGAACTCTACACACCACTAATTAGTTTAAGCTCTATCTATAATCCTAGATGTATGATTTGCCAAGACTCTGATCCCAGCATGGTTCAAATTAAGAACAAAAACAAAGTTGCTGGAAAAGCTCAGCAGGTCGAGCAGCATCTGTGAAGGAAAAAAACGGAGTTAATGTTTCGGGTCCTCAGAACTGGACCCGAAACGTTAACTCTGTTTTTACCTTCACAGATGCTGCCAGACCCGCTGAGCTTTTCCAGCAACTTTGTTTTTGTTCCTGGTTTACAGCATCTGCAGTTCTTTCGGTTTTTATATGGTTCAAATTAAGCTGGTCCCAATGGAACAATTTTGTTTCCATGGTACGGGTGCTAGTGCCCCATGAATCAGAACCCGTTTCTCCAACACCAATCTGAGAGTTATGCATTTACCTCTCTAATCTTAATTACCCATGCTAGTCAGGACATTTATTCACTTGGGAGACATAGATGTTGCTGGCTGGCCAGCCAGCATTTATTGCCTGTCCCTGGGTGCCCTGAAGGTGGTGGTGAGATGTCTTGTTGAACTGCTGCAGTCCACCTGCTGTAGGTTGACCCACAATGCTGTTAGGGAGAGAATTCCAGGATTTTGACCCAGCAACAGTGAAGGAACAGCAATCTATTTTCAAGTCAGGATGGTGAGTGGCTTGGAGGGGAACTTGCAGGTGGTAGTGTTCCCATATTTCTGCAGCCCTTATCCTTCTAGATAGAAATGGTTGTGGTATGGAGGGTGCTGTATAAGGATCTTTCGTGAATTTCTGCAGTGCGTCTTGTAGATAATACGCACTGCTGCCACTGAGCATCGGTGGTGGAGAGTAGATTGCTTGTGAATGGGCTGCTTTGTCCTGGATGGTGTCATGCTTCTTGAGTGTTGATAGCGCTGTACCCATCCAGGCAAGTTGGGAGTATTTCATTACATTCCTTACTTGTGCCTTGTAGATGGTGGCCAGGCAGCAAGTTACTCATTGCAGTATTCCTAGCCTCTGACCTGCTCTTGTAGACACTGTTTATATGATGGGTCCAATTGAATTGAGTTGCTTTATAATTTGGCCCTGAGCTGCTTGTAATTATTCAGCATAAACTTTTTCCTAGTCTATGTGGACCACAACAACTGGATCACTCCCTTCCTATTCAAAGTTTCTCTCCAGGCCGGGAGAGACGTCCTAACCCTTGACACCAGGTAGGCAACACAGCTTTCGAGACTCTCCCTTGCAGCAGAGAAAAGTATCTATTCCCGTAAAAATGCTACCTCCTAATATTTCTTTTTTCACTGCCCGACCTGAATGGCATTCTGGAAAAGGGAGGCCCAGCGAAAACTACTCCCTGCCCTCAACACTAATTACTCTCCCACCCACAGCCATCACTTACCTGCATCTGGGTGTGTCCTTGATTGGAAGCTTCCCTTGTAGTGCTGAGTACATTTGGTCTCTGGTTGGCAACTCTTGGTGCCAACTTCTGCCCTTGAGATCCTTAATCATAGGGAAAGGCCTGCCACCAGCCTGTTAACTGTCCAAGGGATAGAGATAGCAGTGGGAGTGATCATCGCTCAATGAAATCTAACAGAACAAATACAATAACTGAAGGAACAGGGCATTAGTTGAGCATTGAGAGCCATTAACAGCAGAATGATACTTAACGACTGTACAATTTATAACCTCATGGTTTAGAATATCCCCCATGCTACCATTACCACCAAGCCAGGGGATCAACACTTTTTGAAAGAAGTGTGCAGGAGACTTTGCCAGGAGCAGCATCAGGCATACCTAAAAGTGAGATGTCAGTTATTAAAACTGTAGTACGGGACTGCATGCATGAGGTAGGGTCTCTAGCACTGTGTCACAACAGCCCTAAAGTTCCTCAGTGTAGTTTTCTGGGCCCAACCAATTTCAGCTGCTTCAGTTTCCTTTTTATCCATCATGCAGTCAGAAGTCGGAATGTTTACTGATGATGCATAAAGTTCAGTAACATTTATGTCTTCCAATCAGCCATATCAATAGTATGACAAAGAGTGGGTCTGTCTTACCTATGCCTGTCCATCATCTACAAGGTGCAAGTGAGGAGTGCAATGAAATACTTTAATGAGCAATAATGCTCAAGAAGCTTGACACCATTCGGGTCAAAGCAGCCCAGTTGTCTGGCCCACCATCCACCACAGGGTGTCATCCTCAAGATGCAATACAATATTTCACCAAGGTTCCTTTAACACTTTTACACTTAGAATGACAAGTGCAGTAGATACATGGGAACACCACTATCCATAAATTCCTTGAAAGCACACATCATCCTGACTTAGATTTCTAATTACTGCTCAGTCAAAATGCTAGAACTCTCTTTCTGACAGGATTGTAGGTGCTACCACACCCCAAGAACTGCAGGAAAGCAGGGCGGCTCACAACCATATTCTCCAAGGCAGTTAGAGTTGGGTAATAAATTCTGGCTTAGCCAACTAAGTCCAAATGCCAAGTACGAATAACAGGCAAAATGTGGCAGCATATCTTCTTGAGAAGAGTTCATATGGAGATCTCACTGGCTCTCCAGCAGGCAGCTGCAACTCTTGTTGTCTTCACAAGATTCCATCCATAATCCAATTATTATCATATTGCTTTTTGAGGGAGCTTGCTGTGTGTAAATTGGCTACTTTCTACATAACAACGATGACTCCTCCTCAAAAAAATACATTATTAGCAAAGCATTTTCACAGCTATGTCCTGTGGTCCTAAAAAAAACTACAACATAAATTCAAGTTTTTTCTTTGAAACATTTAATAGTTTAATATTTCAGTATGATTTGGAATGGATGATGTGGATGGGAAAGATTGATAACACTGCACTATGCATTGTTCTATTGAACTTATGGCTAAGGCATATAATTGACATCATAATAAATAGTGTTTTGCACTGCATCTGCTGACTATTTATATACGACTTATGCTATATGTCAACAATGATAAAAGTAGTATTCTTCCCAGCATGGACACCAAGATGAGAACGATTTCTTTTGGAGAGAAAGAAAACAAATTTTGAGTGAAGAAATGAAATTCATTGAGTTTATTATTTTTATTTATCATTTTAATTGCAGTATTTGTCTTGTCTGTTAACCTTTTTGCCTTTCACAGTTTACTCATTCAAGAATCTGCTGAGATAGCTGAGGAATTGTTGCAACTTAGAGTAGTGCATCACCTCATGATTGCTATGGGCAATCTGAATCATGCTGACAGCCAAAGACAAGCTAGTTTGACATTGGAAGTAAGTATATTAAGGGAGTGATTTTCCATGTGTGTTGCTGGCAGTGCGTTTAACTTGACTTCAGTTGGGAAACCACTGAAAAGAAATGAGCCCATGACTTCCAAATTCTTGTTGCTGATGGGTGAAGTTCCCTGCCAGCAATGTGAAATTGGCATAATTACCTCTTGCATCGTGGAAGGTAATGTATGTTCATTGATGACAAAAAGTATATTATTTGTACAGCTTGGTGTTGTAATTGAAGTTGAAGAAACAAATAACTTCAAAATTAGGTTACAACATTTATTTATTAGAATCTTCTAATCAGTATTTTGTAAGACATAGATTTATCAATATTAATGAAAAACTGAAATTTCTGTATTAAACATTGATTATTCCTCACATGGTTCATCAAGTGACCTTGGCTTCCAATTTTTCTGTACAAACTAATAGCTACAGAAGTAAAAGTTCTTAATTGATCGTTAAAACTAATCTTTAAAATACAAGTACTATATATATTTTTAAACAGTTGATTGCAATTGTGAAATTGAACTAATGGCAAAGGGATAGAGTTCTGGTGGGTAGTTGCTGTGCACGCATTGTATCCTGAGATGTTGGGGCCTGATGTAAGCCTGGAGGAGCTGAAATCACCAGGTTGCCACGCTGACTTTCAGGTTGGGAATTGCTTCTATTTAATTTCTATCCGATGAGTGGGAGAATGGGAAACGACATATCATTGAGGCAGGATGATGTAATAGTAAGGATGTCAATGCTTGCTCATGAATGCAAATATGGCTGTCATTGCTCACTGGTGGCAATCTCATCTCGTCCATTAACACTTGTATGGAAAACAGGACTTTCACTCTGGACAGCGAAAAGCTCACTGCTGGCCATCTTGCACAATTTTCCCAACTTTTCCTGATTCTGTCCAAAACATAAATCAATGTACCTTAGGACAGGATGAGGCCATTCAGCCCATCAAGCCTGCCTTAGCATTCAATATGATCATGGCTGATCATCCACCTGAATAGCCTGTCCCTGATTCTTCTTCCCTCCCCACCTCTTTGATCCATTTAGCTCTAAGTGCTATATCCAACTCCTTCTTGAAGCCATGCAATATTTTAGCCTTGGCAGCTTTGTAGTAGTGAAGTGCACAGGCTCACCCCTCTCTGGGTGAAGACATTTCTCCTCATCTCAGTCCTACGATCCTACATCTCAGTTTATATGTATTCTTAGTCAATAGATGAGGAGCTGAAAAAGCACAAATTTTCCAGCTTCTCATCTATTGACTCTGGCTTCCAGCATCTGCAGTCCTTATTGTCTCCAAGTACATGTATTTTTAGACTGTGACCTGATCTAATATATCCCAGAACATTGTGGGAAGAAAGGGAGGAAATTAGGAGACGCTTTGCAGAAATATTTGCATCATCTACAACTATGGGTGAGGTGCCTGGTGACTGGAGGGTAGCTAATATTGTACCTTTGTTTAAGAAAGGTTGTAAGGAGAAACCGGGGAACTATAGACCTGTGAGTCTGACTTTGGTTGTTGGTAAATTGTTGGAAGTAATAAGAACATAAGAACCAGGAACGGGAGTAGGTCATCTGGCCCTTTGAGCCCACTCCACAATTCAGTAAGATCATGGCAGATCTTTTTGTGGCCTCAGCTCCACTTACCCACCCTCTCAGCATAACCCTTAATTCATTTACTATTCAAAAAGTTATCTATCTTGGCTTTAGAAACATTCAATGAGGAATCCTCAATTACTTCACTGGGCAGGGAATTTCACAGATTCACAAACCTTTGGGTGAAGAAGTTCCTCCTCAATTCAGTCCTAAATCTGATCCCTCTAATTTTGAGGCTATGTCCTCTTGTTCTAGTTTCACCCACCAGTGGAAACATCCTCCCTGCTTCAATCTTATCCATTCCCTTTATAATTTTACATGCTTCTAGAAGAGTTCCCCCTCTCCACCTCATTCTTCTAAATTCCAATTAATACAATCCCAGTCTACTTCATCTCTCCTCATAAGCCAACGCTCTCAACTCCGGAATCAACCTAGTGAATTTCTTCTGCAGCCCCTCCAGTACCAGTACATCCTATCTCAAGTAAGGAGACCAAAACTGCACACAGTACTCTAGGTATGGCCTCACCAGCACCATATACAGCTGCAACATAACCTTCATGCTTTTAAACCCAATCCCTCTAGCAATGAAGGACAAAATTCCATTTGCCTTTTTAATTACCTGCTGTACCTGCAAACCAACCTTCTGCGATTCATGCACAATGACACCCAGGTCCCTCTGCACAGCAGCAAGTTGCAATTATTTTACCGTTCAAATAATAGTCCTTTTTCCTGTTAATTTCTATCAAAATGGATGACTTCACATTTATTAACATCGTACTCCTTCTGCTAGACCTTTGCCTGCTCACTTAAACTATCTATAGCCCTCTGCAAACTTTCAGAATCCTCTGCACACTTTGCTGTCCCACTCACCTTAGTGTCATTCGCAAACTTTGACACACTACAAATGGTCCTCAACTCCATATCAGCTATGTAAATTGTAAACAATTGGATCCCAACACTGATCCCTGAGGGACACCACTAGTCACTGATCACCAACCAGAAAAGCATTCATTTATCCCCACTCTTTGCTTCCTGTTACTTAACCAATCCTCTACCCATGCTAATACATTGCCTGTAATGCTGTGCACCTTCATCTTATGCAGCAGCCTTTTATGCAGCACCTTGTCGAACGCCTTTTGGAAATCCAGATACACCACATCTATTGGGTGCCTGTTGTCCACTGTGCTTGCAGTGTCTTCATAGCATTACAGTAAATTAGTTAAACATGACCTGCCCTTCATGAACCCATGCTGCATCTGCCCAATGGGACAATTTCTATCTAGATGTCCTGCTATTTCTTCCTTGATAGATTCTAGCATTTTCCCATGACAAAAGTTAAGCTAACTGGTCTATATTCCCCATCTTTTGTCTACCTCCTTTTTTTTGAACAGTGGCATCACATTTGCTATTTTCCAACCTGCTGGAATTGCCCCAGACTCCAGCGAATTTTAGAAAATTACCACAAGCGCATTTGCTATTTCTTCCGTCATCTCTTTTAGTACCCTGGGATGCATCCTATCAGGGCCAGAAGACTTGCCTACTCTTAGCTCCATTAGCTTGCCCTACACTACCTGTTTTGTGACAAGGATCATTTTTAAGTCCTCACCTACCTTAGTCTCCTTGTCACCAATTATTGGCATGTTATTCGTGTCCTCCACTGTGAAGACCAACACAAGATACCTGTTCAATGCCTCAGCTGTTTCCTCATTTCCCATTATTAAATTCCCCTTCTCATCCTCTAGCAGACCAATGTTTACCTTAGCCATTCTTTTCTGTTTAATATATTGGTTGAAACATTTGCTATCTGTCATTGTATTCTGAGCTAGATTACTCTCATAATCTATCTTACTTTTCTTTATAGCTTTTTTTGTGGCTTTCAGTTGATCTTTAAAGTTTTCCCAATCTTCTAGTTTCCCACTGGTCTTTGCCACTTTGGATGTCTTATCTTTCAATTTGATAGCCTCCCTTATTTCCTCAGGCATCCATGGCTGATTACCTCTTTTCCTACAGTCCTTCCTTTTCACTGGTATATACTTTGCTGAGCACTTCTAAAAAGTTGTTTTGAAAGTCCTCCACTGTTCCTCAACTGTCCCACCATAAAGTCTTTGCCTCCAGTCTACTTTAGGCAACTCCTCCCCTATCCTACAGTAGATTTCCTTTGTTTAAGCACACGACCGTGGTATTGGATTTTATCTTCTCACTTTCCATCTGTATTCTAAATTCAACCATACTGTGATCGCTCCTTCCAAGAGGATCCCTCACTTTGAGATCATTAACTATTCCTGTCTCGTTATATAGGACCAGATCTAGGATAGCTTGCTCCCTTGTTGGTTCCAGTACATACAGTTCAAGAAAACGATCGCAAAAGAAAACTCAATGAACTCTTCCTCAAGGCTGCCAAGACCGACCTGGTTTGACATGTAGTTTAAAATCCCCCATGATACTTGCTGCACCATTTTTAACAGGCATTAGTTACTTCCTTACTTATTGCCCGCCCAAATGTGATGTTATTATTTGGTGGCCAGTAGACTATGCCTATCATTGACTTTTTCTTAGAATTACTAATTTCCACCCAAATGGATTCAACCTCATTCTCCATAGAGTCTATATCATCTCTCACTACCACCCTGACGTCATCCTTAAATATCAGAGCTACACCACTCCCCTTACCTTCCTGTTTGTCCTTCCAAGTAGTCAGATACCCGTGGACATATAATTCCCAGTCATGACCATCCTGCAATTATGTCTCTGTAATGACTACTAAATCATACTCCTTTGCGATGGTTTGTGCTGTTAACTCATCTACCTTGTTTTGAATGCTACGAGGATTTCAGTAAAGTGCCTTTATGCTAGTTTTTATACCTTTTTGAATTCTAACATATCCATTAATAATATCTCCTGAGTTTTCCTTCTTTTTAACTTCTCTCATAGCCTTCGATTGTAGTTAAACCCTTCTGCACACGTTAACCTGCTGCTTTCTTTTCTATTTACTATTATACTTCCTGTCATTTTCCCCTTCCCTTCCCCCCAATTTACTAGTTTAAAGTCCTAGTGACCACCCTATTTATCCTTTTCACTAGAACACTGGCTCCAGATTGTTTTAGGTAGAGACCATCCCAATGGTACAGATCCCTCCTGTTCCAAGACTGATGCCAATGTCCCATGAAATGGAACCCCTCTATCCCACAACACTCCTTTGGCCATGTGTTTATTTCCTTAATTTTCTTATCCCTATGCCAATTTGCACATGGCTCGGATAGTAATCCGGAGATTATACCCGAGTGCTTGATAATCCCCAAACCAGTCCTCCTTCTTAGCCTTGCCTATGTTGTTTGTCCCAATGTGGACCACAACAACTGAATCTTCACCCTCCCACTCCAATATCCTTTCAAGCCGGTCAG